TGGTTTTGTCGTCGTTGTGTTGCCTATTCTCTCATTACCATGTTTCGGTGCGTAATTTTATTTTGGTATTCTCTTTTGTTGCCCAGGTTTATCAGGTTGTTTGTTATTTCCTCATTGTTGTGAACCAAGTTTGTTAGAGCCGCCAGCCAAGTTAGTATGTTGGGGGGTGTTTTTTGTTGGCTTTCGGTATTTTTACGTTGTCCACAAACAAAAAGGTTGTATGGAAGGTTTGTTTGAATTCCTCTTAATTTCATCTTCTTGTTTCTACTTCAGCCTCCATTGTCATGGTTTTTTGTGTGTGTGTGTTGTACGTTATTATTTCATCTAACTGGTATTTTTCAAAATATTTTGTTTAGTTTCGACAAACATATCATCATGGCTCCAAACAAATGTCTGACCTTTGTTTACATACTATGTACCAGAGATGGCAAAGGAGAATTACTAAAATGTTGTAAATGCATCTGAGTGGTATTCTACTTACAGAGGATTGCTTGAAACCCATGAATTTTAGTTCTATAGAATTATTGTACCCTCCATACATAGTATGTCTGTTGTAATCACGCTACAGTCAAAACGAATTAAGATAGGAACCTTAAATTTTGCACAGATCTGTCTTTTGTCTGCTGGCAGGTCAAGTTCGAAGATGGGCTATATTGGTCCACGATATCGTATAGCTCCCATAAAACGGTACCCCCCGATTTTCGGCATTTTGATGATTTTAGCCACATTTTTCAATGGAATTGTCTGAAAATCTACATAAGAAGTTCCTTGTAAGTACTTTACCACCTGGAAGAGAATTATATATAGGTCCACGATATCGTATAGCTCCCATATAACGGAACCCCCCGATATTCGGTATTTTGATGATTTTTGCCACATATTTTAATGGAATTCTCTTAAATTTCTCACAAGGATTTCCTTTTGAGTACTTTATCCCCTGAAATAGAATTCTCTATATAGGTCCACAATATCGTATATCGACCATATCCATCTTCCTATATTCGGTATTTTTAAGATTTTAACAGCGTTTTTCAGGGAAACGGCAGTTTGTGTACCCTTTGAACAGAAAGTACCATTGCAAATGATCTTCTACATAGGTCCAAATTGTGGTATAGATCTCATTAAACGCTACCTCCCCATATTCAGTATTTGGATGATTTTAGCTACATTTTCAACGGAATTTTTGAAAAGTGCATTTTCGGAGTTGTAGCGGAAAATTTTTTTAGTGCACGTTTTTGTACATTCCTCATTAGGGTACATCCATGTGCGCGGTATTTGGATGCTTTTATCAAAGGAACTTTTCTGAAATCTCCTCCTGCAGTTGTCTTTACAGGTCCACGTTTTCGTATAGCTCTCATAAAGCGGGGCCTTCCACACATTTTCAACATTCTTTACTACAATTGTTTGAGCTTTGTATTTGCAGTTAATAAAAGGTACTATCGTCTTTGATAGAAGGTATCTATAGGGTTTAGGGGTACCTCCCGATATTTGGATGATTAACCCGCTTTTTATTTTTAAGTTATTTTTTAGTCTGAAGTTGGTTGCAGGTTTTCATCTCACCCTATATTTATACTAGGATTTAAAGTTCTAGCTCCACTTATCCGCTCTCGCCTGGAATGCTTTTAGTCACAAATTTGTTTTTTCTAGCCACAAAAAAAAATATTTTTTCCACTCTCCCTCTCTCAAACCTAGCTGTACAGACAGTACTTTATATGCTAGTCACCCTCACTCCATACCTAGGAAATAATGTTATTTCCTTAAAGTATTTCTTTAGTACTTTTTCTGTCTTGTATATTTGACATAGACAAAGCCACTGACTAAATTTCGGAATTCTCGATTTACATTTGTGTAAATATTTAGAAAATTTTATATATTTTAGTATATATTTAAAAAAATTCGCCTTATCACACACCTTCATCCTAGTTGTGACTCATTTTCATATTCGAACTTCAGCAGCTTCGGCAGTTAGCCAGTTGTTACGCATCCCTTATTAGATGAATCATATAAGCTCTTCTACCTTTGGGGCATACAAATGAATAAAGAATTACACTTCTTAGTTTCCCATCTCTGCAAGTACCATTTATATACGAAGTTTATTTGGTGAGTGTATTTTGTGCGTAAATAAAACTCTTAATACTCTCCATATCTTATTCTCTCTACTAACTTTTATCTCAGCTTCAAATAAAGAGAGTGAATTGTTACCAACATTCAGAGCATTCATTATTCATTATCTCCATAGAAGCCCCATATGGGTTAGAGGAAAGAATCATTTTATTTTTGTTCCTTTTGTTGTTATTTTTGTTTTCTTCTTCTCTTATTCTTCTAGATCTATTGTAGTGGCAAAACATTATAGAGCGCGGTTAAAGCGTTAATATTACCCAACCACACATCATTAATTTTAAATCGATAAAAATAAATCAAATCTGAGAAACTGTGGTTTTGTTATGACCAACCCTCTCGTCGCCCCTTCCCCTCAATATTATTTTTAGAGATGGATGGGGCTGCTTTTTGTGATGCTGATGTGATCAGTTTTATACAACCGGTATTTGTTTTAGTCATCATCAGCTCAACATCGTCGCTATTGTTTTTACGTTTATAACTGAAATGGCAACCAAGTCGATTTGGTGCGGATTACATTCTCTATTTTCGAGCTACAAAACTCATGATTAATAAAGCTGTGTCAGAATTGAGAAAAATATTCTAAAGACGATGTTATGTAATAAACAGCTTTGGTATAATCTTTCCTATTCTCAAGCAGTAATCACAACACTTTATTACACTACCAGCCAATTGCAAAAAGTCTTCCATACATGTTTCGCTGGTCTCAGCTTTAATAGTGCAAGGCCAGGATAAAGCAAACAATATAATCAAATTTTTTTTTCAAAAAGATATATACCCTTAGCATATGACCGTATGTAAAGGGCTATTATATTTTTGGAAACACCAGTTTACGTGTTTTGTTTCACTGTCAAACATATTCAATTTGGCCTAACCATGAATAACATACTATAATTAAATAATTAATTATAAGCTGACAACGCTTGCAAATCATTGCATTTCATTATCGAAAATCACTGTTGAACTAGTAGAATTGTCGATTTTCGATCGATTTGCAGATCGGCCAGGAGAATTGCAAAAGCAACCATTGCGCTCAGAAAAAGTCACAAATTGGTGTGGTTTATGCCCTGGTGGCATCATTGGACCACATTTCTTTAAAGCTGCTGCGAATCGAGACGTAACAGTGAATGGAATTTTTTTCCCGAAATGCAGGAGCTTGACTTGAATCACAGCAATTCAGTAAGACAACAATAAATCATTAATTCGTAATAAAAATTAAACAAAAAAAAATCGTGCATTTTTCTGAACTGTATGTGCATTTTTAAAAAACTTTCCTATTGTTCTTACAAATCACCCTTTATTAAACCCTCAGTTATACAGGATGAGATAAAAAATCTGCAACAAAGTCAAAAGCCATAATTTTTACATTTTTTTAATTTTATTTAATGAAAGCAAAAAATATCGGAAATAGCATCAATTTTTTAAAATAAGTTTAGATTTGTTCGAATTGGTCACCTTTGGCACGAATTATGGCCTTCAAACGGCCGATGAAACCGTCACACGCTGCCGAATGTTGCTCTGCGATATTTTGGCTCATTCCCGGCGAAGCGCTTGCTTGAGGTGATCGACTTTTTGGTATTTTTATTGCCAATCTTGCCATCGTGGCTGGAAATGAAGCGAGGAACCTCATTTTGTAACTATTCTTGGGTGGCGCGTGTCCTGTTGAAAAGCCCAAGGTCTGCGGCCAAAATGTTTGCGTGCCTAAGGCTTTAATACGACCTCCAGATTATTTTCGCGATAATATTCGGCATTTATTCTGATGCCACCGTCGATTAATACGAGCGGAGAGCGACCATCGGCTGTTATGAGTGCCCACACCATCACCATAGCCGGCGCTTGAGTTCTGTTGGCCAACCGATGGTGCGCATTTTCAGCTGACCTCTTTGGCAAGTAAAAACGATAATTTTGTTCGCTTATAAACTGCTAGATAACGAATTTTTTCTCATCGGAGAAAACCAAATTCGGCAGTTCACCACTTTCGGCCAAGCGAAGAAACTCTTTAGCTCTTTTGATTTTATTTTCTTTCTGTTGCGGTGTAAGTTTTTGCACGTTTTGGAAATTCAATGGCTTTACCCCGATCTCATTTTTTTATTTTCCGAATGGAATATTGCGATATGTTCAGCTCACGAGCCATTTTTCGACCACTGCGACGCGGGTTTCGATCAAGTCGCTTCTTTACTTTTCAAACCATTTCTCCTGATGTTGCTGTTTTCTTCCGTCCACTTCCTTGACGTCGGGCTACGCTACCAGTATCACGGTAACGAGCAATGGTACGAGACACAAAAGATTTATTCACATTTAAATGTTGGAGTGCTCTAACGATAGCCACTTGTTGTTTTTCAGCCAAATATAAAGAAAGCACACTATCAAGAACAACTTTTTTTCTTGAAAATTCTCACCAAAATGGTTTTGTACGCTTGTAAGCAATATAATGAGCTGTCACTGGAATAATTCTAACAGCTGTCGGACGAGTGGCTGAGAAATTAGAGCAGTCTGAAGTTGGTTGCAGTTTTTCAATCTCATCCTGTATATGTATTTAAAGTGTGACCTCCAAGGCAGACTTTGGTAATATTTGCAGTGTTTACCAGTCGAAATTTTTGTAAAACAATTAAATTAATTAAAACAGTGTCAAAGTTCTTTATTCTTAATTATCTGTAAAAGGAAAAAAATATATATTTTGATTTTTATGGGACATAAATCTTTTCCTCACACTACATATTAAGCGTTTTTAGTCTCTCACATTTCGTTGCACAGAAGTACCAAAACCTTGGCTAAGTAATTACACATACTTCGCATTCTCGGGGAAACACCATTAAATATTTTAAAAGTCTTCTACATTTTTTCAAAAATATTAACCTACTTTTCTTCTCTTTTCTTTTCAGTTAATTTGTTAAGTTTGACGTCGCTTCTACTGTAAATACCACAAAAACCATTTTAAGAAAACAAAACAAAATCGAAACAGTTATCGGGTCCGCAGAAGTAATATATAATTCAGAAAAAAAACGAACAAAATAAAACAATTATATCAAGCAACTCTTTAAGAGTTTTTCTACTCCTAAGGAATAAAAGTATTATATATTTAACACATAATCCTCCTATCTATCATCATCGAAAATCGAAAAAAAAAATCCGACATTTGGTTGTCATTCTATTTCTCTTCCTCTTCACTTGAATAGAGCGAGCAACCTGAAAGTGTAATTTTTGTTACAAAATATCCTCCTATTCCTGCAAAAAGTGTCTTTTTATCGTTCTCTGTTCTCTTGTTCGCGTTCGTCGTTAATCTCCGTTATAACATTGTTAATCGTGATCGTTGTCGCCGCCGCTGTCGTTATCAAGTTTTATCGTTGTCGTGTCGCATATCGTTCTGTTTCTTGTGTCATCGTTACAAATCGTTACTCTGTCGCATTCGTAAAGTTGCTGTTGTCGTAACGTCGTTACCGTCGCCGCCACAATGTTCAAGTGCATTCCAATTTTTAAAGGCTGTAATCGCCAGGTCGAGTTTGTGGACAAACGCCATTGCTCACTGCCGACAGTACCCGAAGAGATCTTACGCTATTCGCGTACATTGGAGGAATTATTCTTGGATGCGAATCACATTCGTGATTTACCGAAGGTAAGTGCATTTTCAATAAAATTATGAATAAAAATGATCTTCCTACCAAAAAATCTCAATTAAAGGAGACAGTTTCTCTATACAAAAAAGTCTCCATCTATCTCCTCAGTCGCTGAGAACAGTTTTTTTCTATAGAAAAAGTCTTCTAAGTAGGTGAGAACAGATTTTTTTCTATAGAAAAAAGTCCCATCAGTCACTGAAGAATTTTTTTTCTATAGGAAAAAGTCTCTCAGCCAACGAGGACATTTTTTTCTGTAGAAAAAAGCCTGCTCTATCAATGTGGAATTTTTTTTATAGAAAAAGTCTCCTTAGTCACTGAGGATAGTGTTTTCCACAGAAAAAGTCTCCTCAGTCGCTGAGGATAGTTTTTTCCATAGGAAAAAGTCAACTCAGCCACAGAGGACAGTACTTAATTTGCCGTTGAGTAAATAGATAGTGCTCGACTTTGATATTGAGCACACAGTTGGTTTCTTGGATTTAGATATGCTGGTGGTCAATTTTTAATATGAAAAGACGTTGAAACAGTTTTGGTCAGAACAAGTAAAAAAACATTAAGTTCGGCCGGGCCAAACTTTTAATACCCCCCAGCTTAGGGTAAAAGAAACATTAGAAGAAATGTGGCAAAAACCATTAAAATGCCGAATATCGGGAGGTATCGTTATATGGGGGCTATACCAAAACGTGGACCTATAATTACAATGTTTCGCCACACGAACTAGGACCCATTATGACCCACAAATACCAATTTTCAGACAAATCCGTGAAAAAATGTTGCAAAAATCATCAAATTACCGAATATCGGGAGGTACCGTTATATGGGGGCTATACCAAATCATGGACCCATACATGCAATTTTTCGCCACCGTATCTGGAAACCATTATGACCCACATATACCAATTTTTAGACAAATCCGTGAAAAAATGTGGCAAAAAAATCTAAAATACCGAATATCGGGAGGTACCTTTATATGTGGGCTATACCACAACGTGGACCTATACATGCAATGTTTTGCCACACGCTCAGGGACCCGTTATGACCTACAAATACCAATTTCCAGACAAATCCGTGAAAAAATGTGGCATAAATCATCAAAATACCCAATATCGGGAGGTACCGTTATATGGGGACTATACCAGAACGTGGACCGATATATCTCATTTTCAATACCAACCATCCTAGACCCAATGCAAATAGCTGTGCTAAATTTTGGTGCTCTACGTCAAATAATGTGGGCTGTATCGTGATTTCAACACACAGACGGACAGACAGACATCGTTAAATCGATTTTTAAGGATGTTACAAACGGAATGACAAAGTTAATATACCCTCCTTTCCAAGGTGGAGGGTATAAAAAAGTCCCCTCAGCCACTGAGGACTGTCTCCTCAGTCGCTGAGGACAGTTTTTTTTCTATAAAAAAGTCCGCTCAGCCGCTGAGGATAGTTTTTTTCTACAGAAAAAAGTCTCCTCAGTCGCTGAGGACGGTTTTTTCTATAGAAAAAAGTCTACTCAGCCTCTGAGAACATTTTTTTATTTTCTATAGAAAAAAGTCTCCTCAGCCACTGAGAACATTTTTTTCTTTTCTATAGAAAAAAGTCTCCTCAGTGTTGTTGTCTTCCGGTAATCAATTTTCCACAGAACAGTTTTTTCCAATTATTTGAAAATCAAATCCAAATATAACTCAGTTATGACATTCAAACACTTTGTGAAATTTATAGACCAATCAAAGAGCACAGCACGTGAACTATTCAATTGTCGGCATCGAAAAGAAAAAAAGAACAAAACAGAAAGCAGCAACAACAACAACAATTAATTACAAATAAAATTGAAAAATAAATAGCCGACTAAAAACTGCAGCAAGTGGCATTGATGTTTGCTCTAGAAAAATGTTGCATAAAACGTCGTTTCCATGCAACACTGCCACTTGCACCATCGTTTCGGTTTGGGGGAAAAGACCGCACTCGTGCTGCTGCTACTGCTGCTGCAACTAACAGCCGCCATTGTTTGAAGTGGTGGTGAAAAATGTTGAAAATTTTTTGCTCCGCTGCAGATGCTGCGGCAGTTCTTGTAATTATATTGAAGTTTTAATTAAGTATTTCCTTTGCCATTTAACTCTTCTTGCATTTTGTTTTTCGTGCTCCCACAAAAAAATGCCACACAATAGAGGAAAACAGATCTCTGTAGCTGTTAATAAATTAATGGGGGGCAAGTGGAGAGAAAAGTATTTTTAAATCGTTTTTCTTCTTTGCTGGCATTTTTTTAATTCAAAGAATATGTGGCATGTAACCCCTTTATAGTGCTTAAGAGTCACAGAGTATCTTCCTCTGTAAAAAAAAGAAAAGCAATCGTAAACTAGAACAGAGACTTGGAGGAATGGAAATGTCTGTAAAAAGGAAATGAAAAACTCAAAGGAAATCTGTGAAAATTTCGCATTGGCGGAGAAAAAAGTGTGAAAAAATATGGGAACAAGGTCTAGGACTGTAGCTTTGATAGTCCTTCCAAAATCCTTGGCGATAATATCTCTGATAATCCTTGAAAAGCTTTACGCAAAAAATCCAAGATATCCCTTTAATAGATGCAAGATTGTAGCTTAAAAATACCCGGAAAAAGTTTGTGGATCTGATGGTCCTTGAAAAGTATCTGATGATCTTAAAAAAGTATTTCACAAAAATGCTATTATAAATGTGTGATGGTTTTTCAATAAAAAAATCCTTTTAAAAATATAAATTTTTAAGTCCTTGAAAAAATAATCTTGAAGAGAGATAAAAAAGATAAAAAAAAAAACCGCAACAAAGTCAAACGCCATAATTTCTACATTTTTTAAAAATTTTATTGAATGAAAGCAAAAAATGTCGGAAATAGCATCAAATTTCAAAATAAGTTTAGATTTGTTCGAATTGGTCACCTTTGGCACGAATTATGGCCTTAAAACGGCCAATGAAACCGTCACAGGCTGCCAGAATGCTGCTCTGCGATATTTTGGACCATTCCCGGCGAAGCGCTTGCTTGAGGTGATAGACACCCTGGAATTTTTTTAGGATCAACCCTGTTTTCCAAAATACTCCAGATACAATAGTCCAACGGATTGGTATTCGGAGATTTTGTTGGCCATTGTAACCATTCTTGGGTGGCACGTGTTGAGTGCGATGGTGCTGAGTCCTGTTGGAATGTCCAAGGTCTGCGGCCAAAATATTTGCGTGCCCAAAGCTTTTCGCGATAATATTCGGATTTATTCTGATGCCACGGTCGATTAATACGGGCGGAGAGCGACCATCGGCTGTTATGTCGGTCCACACCATTACCATGGCCGGCGCTTGGATTCTGGTGGCCAACCGAAAGTGCACATTTTTGGCTGACCTCTTTGGCATGTAAACACGATTCACGATTATTGATTTTCTAGTCCTGGAAAAAATATTTCTTTTGGTCCGTGAAAAAATATTTTCTAAAAGTTCACGATTGTTGGTCTTTTGGTCTTCGAAAAAAATATTTTCTAAACGATTATTGATTTTTTAGTCCTTGAAAAAATATTTCTTTTGGTCCTTGAAAAAATATTTTCTAAAAATCCAAGATTATTGATCTTTTGGTTCTCGAAAAAAATATTTTTTTAAAAAACCACGATTATTGATGTGTTGGTCCTTGAAAAAATATTTCTTTTGATCCTTGAAAAAATATTTTCTAAAAATCCACGATTATTGATTTGTTAGTCCTTGAAAAAATATTTTAGTCCTTGAAAAAATATTTTTGTTAGTTCTTGAAAAAATATTTTCTAAAAATCCACGATTATTGATGTTTTAGTCCTTGAAAAAATATTTTCTAAAAATCCACGATTATTGATGTTTTAGTCCTTGAAACAATATTTTCTAAAAATCCACGATTATTGATATTTTAGTTCTTGAAAAAATATTTTCTAAAATGTCACGATTATTGATCTTTTGGTCCTTGAAACAATATTTTCTAAAAATCCACGATTATTGATGTTTTGGTCCTTGAAAAAATATTTTCTAAAATGTCACGATTATTGATCTTTTGGTCCTTGAAACAATATTTTCTAAAAATCCACGATTATTGATCTTTTAGTCCTTGAAAAAATATGTTCTAAAAATCCAAGATTATTTATGTTTTGGTCCTTGAAAAAATATTTTCTAAAAATCCACGATTATTGATTTTTAGTCCTTGAAAAAATATTTTCTAAAAATCTACGATTATTGATCTTTTGGTCCTTGAAACAATATTTTCTAAAAGTTCACGAATATTGATCTTTTGGTCCTTGAAACAATATTTTCTAAAAGTTCACGATTATTGATCTTTTGGTCCTTGAAACAATATTTTCTAAAAATCCACGAATTTATGTCTTTTGATCCTTGAAAAAATATTTTCTAAAAGTTCACGATAATTGATATTTTGGTCCTTGAAAAAATATTTTCTAAAAATCCACTATCATCGATCTCTTGGTCTTTGAAGAAATATTTTCTATGAATATCACGAATTTATCTCTTTTGGTCCTTGAAAAGGCTCATGAAAAACATTCCTTAAATCCTCCTTCATAATACCTCAAGTACTCCTTAAAATACGCTATTCTGGCTCTGATAGTCCTTGAAACAATTTCTTCCCGTAAACTACGGAAGAATATTCTTTGAAAGTGTCACATAGAAACATCATTTTTTAAAGGGAGAATCATTGCCGCTTTTATGCATTCCTCATACCAGTGAATTTCTACGACTTCCTTATTCCGCCGCCCTAGTCATGGCCAGACAACATTTTAACAACCCTTAAGCATAAATCTTAGAAAAAGCGAAGAAACAACATTTCAGACATGACTGTGTCCCTTTTTGCAAGAAACCCGGCATTGCCTCAACATGTGCGAATCTCAAGTAGAATACAAACGCATTTCATTATGTCTTCGGTCTATGATTTAATGAAAGAGGCATAACGAGCTTTTTGTTGTATCCGTCCGTAGAGCCATCTTATGTAATTATGAAACGATTATAAAGTTCATAATCA